CCCCAAAACCCCAAAACCCCAAAACCCCTAAATGCATTAATTCAAATATATTAAGAATTAAATAAGTAAAAATTCTTAATAAATCATAAATTTAAGAAATTTGAATACCTATGTCATTTTAAGAATCAACAGATTTTGATTAGTGCGGCCAAAATGAGACGAAAGTAGAAGAGCAAGAGATTGAAATTGAGCAAAAGGAGCTTGAATTTTAGTTTTCTGGGGAAATATGAGACTTTTAGTCTTTTAGGAGAAAATTTAAATACAGATTGAAGAATGCTTGGCGAGAATTCTTTTTTAAACATTTGAGGGTATTCTGCTTTTTCTATATGCTTCTAGGAATGGGTGCTCTTGTGTCAGGCATAAGTTTATTCAAATACCTTTAGACAATCAATAAAAGTATTTAAGTGGGTCAGTTACTGCTAGGTAAAGCTGTGTGCTTATTAATTTTGAATATTGTCAAAATGAAATCAGAGAAGGTCAAAATGAATGAAATTACATTTGCTGATAAGTTTATTTCAATCATACTGGGATTTGTTATATTTCTAGCTACATTTACTTATTGGTTCTCTCTACAGTACTTAAATATTGGTTCTATATCCATTATTTTCTATTCCTAGCCAATTATCTACATGGTCCTTGCTCGAATAGCCTTAAGGGAGAGAATTGATTTTTATGAGATAATCAATCTAGTTTTTGGATTTGCCGCCATTGCTGCTATAACAATTGTCTTAGTTAAGAATAATTAGTCAGCAGTTGGGAAAGCAATGAATATCATTAGCTTGCTAAGCAATTAAAATGAAATAACAATAGCAGCCTTAATCATTTGCTTTTCATCAATGATACTCTTTTCAATTGCTTCAATATTAGGAAGAAAACTATCAAATTCCCATTACATAATAGTTAATACTTATCAGTCTATTGTAATCTTGATTATCTCAGGAATTTTATCTGCTCTATAATTCTAGAAATTCAATGTTGATTAAAAGCAGATTCTGATTATTGTTTTGATATTTACTTGTGGATATTTGTATAATTATTGCTAAGAATTTATTTTGGCTTATGAATTCAGTGCCAGAGTTCAGTCTTTGAGATTCTTTCAATTCATAATTGCTTATTTAGCTGACTACTTCTTATTCGGATACCAGATTAGCCTCTTTGAGTTCTCAGCTGCTATTGTTGTCATTCTTAGTTCTGTTTTAACTTTGCTACTATAAAAACTAAACAATGGCAGTTTAGATAATTAGAAGCAATAGCATATTAAAGATTATGATTCAGCAAGATGATTTTTAATAATGAATTCTTTAATTTAGATTTCAACATCTCTATCGGGGTTTTGGGGTTTTGGGGTTTTGGGG